GAGGAGGAGGAGGAGGAGGAGGAGGGCTGGGGGGAAGCAGGCAACCATAAATCGACCCCCAGGCGCACAGTGGTCAAACTTCAGGAAACCCAGGACAAAGTAACGATCTAAAAAGCAGTCAAATTAAAAAGGGAATTTACCGCCAACAAACCTTTACTGACAGCAATGACCCCAGAAAAGTGGTGTAAGATGCACGAGGACGGGGCTCTGCTCCCAGACTGATGACCCCGCGCCCCAGGCTGCAGTGCCCGGCAGAACGTTCGGGAAACGCGCCCGCACCGCACGCCGAGTTCTGGCCTGGGCGCCAGCCCGGAGGAGGTGTCTGCGGGACGCGGCCCCTCCACAGTCTCTGCTGGGGCCCTCGGAGGCCCAGGGCCGGGGGCTGCATCCAGGTTCCCTCGTCATGCTGGATTCAGACAGTTCTGGAGAGACACCCCTCCTCCGTCTGTGGCGCTGCCGATTCCCTTTGATCTTGCGAGGTCGCTTTGGACACACGCGACTCACTCGTAAATTCACAGCAGCTCAGAGCAAGTGTAAATGCCAGCGAAGCGCAGAGCGGTTTTTCTCTCTCCCACGCTCGATCGCTCACCGCGCTGTCTCCCATCTCCCACTGGGCATCGGCCTCTGACGTGCACATCGGGCCTCGCACTTCTCCAAAGCGCTCAGGACTGGCGGAGCTGTGCACGTGAGAGGCGTCGATGGCACAGGTGTCTGCAGGACAGACGTACTCGTGAGAGGAAGGGGCCGAGGGACCGTCCGCACGAGGCCACACTGCAGGTCCTCAGACACCCGGCTCCAGGGCCCAGGCCCTCCCCGGCCCCCGCGCCGGCTCCTCGGCTTGCCAAAGACGCCGGATGAATGCCGCTGGGGCGGACGCTCGCTCTTTACCGTCGGCATCTTCTGGGGCAGTGTGCTAGTCAGGGTTCTCCAGAGAAACAGCCAGCAGGATGGACATACGCTGACTAAACAGATCATCAGCAATGACTACTGGCTCATGCGGTAATGGAGGCTGACAAGTCTCAAGGTCAGCGGCTGGCGAGCCAGGGACCCAGGAAGAGCCAGTGCCTCAGTTCAAGGCCGGAGGCAGGTGTGACCGTGGTCCCAGCTGCCAAGAAGTCCGGCCAGAGGGCCAGACGTTTGGGCCTGTTCGGTCCTTCGACTGATTGGACGAGGCCCACCCACGCCGGAGGGCAAGGTGCTCTATCAGCACATCCGTTCAAACGCTAAGCGCGCCCAAGAACACTTCCACAGAAGCTCCCAGAGGATCGTCCGACCGGATACCTGGGCACCCTGCCATTCAGGCAAGAAGATGCAAAATCAGCCCTCATGGTCGCTGGCATGAGTTCTGTCCCAGGTCGGGTAGTGCTTAGAAAGCCATCTGGGTCACGTGCTAAGTCGAGGTGGCTGACACTGGCCACCCGCGGCAGGGCAGGGCGCATCCGTAAGCGCACGCATCCCCGTGAGCTGCCCCCTCACTCTGCCGTCTCTGCTGAGTCCTCGCCCCTCCCGCAGGTACGTGGGGAAGGAGTACCGGGAGCAGAAGGCACTCTGGCCCCACTTTGCCGACGTGGAGCGGCAGATGACCGCCCAGCACTACGTGGCAGAGTTTAACAAGAGGCTTTACGAACACAAGATCCCGACCCAGATCTTCTACGTGCCCTCTGCGGTGTTACTGGTAAGAGCTCGGTTGTGGTGACACACGCCTGTGACACGTGTGAGGCTGTTTCCGCTGCCAGCCTACACCCCCATCCCGCTAACATCCAGCTACCCAGCCCCCACCTTCCTCGTCTGCTCCGTCTGCTGCGCCTACTTAGACGGACACGTGAGGAACACAGCCCCCCGTGCCCTGCGGGCGCCAAGCCTCACGCGACCTCCCGAGGCCGGAGTCAGGTCAGCATGTCAGTGTGCTCCTCGTCCTGTCTCCGTACTGAGAAAGAGGGGGGCGGGGCGCCTAGAGACCGCACTTTCGACGGCTCGTCCCCTCAGTGTGGCATCCCCACTGCACGCACCTCGAGATCCAGAGACCCATGGCCGAGCCGCAGACGAGACACCTGTAGTAAGAGACAGTAGCTACACTTTCACTTTCAAACAATCCTAACCGTTAGGGAGTTCTTGGATTTGGCCTGGATCTGTCTTCGTCTAATTTCTTCTCCCTTTGAACTGTGGCTCTGTCTGCTGGGGCCTCTGAGACCGGCCCCGTCACGAGACAACCCCATTAGACGTTCATTAGACGTTCGAAGGCGTCCATCCCACCACCTTCTCTCTGGGTCCAGAACACCCTACTTCCCCAAAGATCCTTAGCTCATTCATACCTAACTCTTTTTTTTTTTAACTTTAGTCAGAGACATTTTTAGAGCCACATTTTTTTCCTTAGAATATCAACAGCTGTCATCTGTTTTGCACTTTCTTTATGTCAAGCACTATGCCAGGCACTTTACAGACATGAACTTGAGCCTTTTGAGACAACTCTACAAGGCAGATCAGACACAGAAATGCCGGAGCTGAGCTTCCAGCCCAGGGCCGTGGTGGACGATCCACCCACACACCCGGCCCACCCACCTGAGGGTAGGTCATGTCATGGCCTCCATCTGATGTGAGATTTTGATAAAAGAATGATAAAAAGCTTAGTTTCTATCAACGTTAAGCACTTTACATGCGTTTTCTCACATAACCCTTTTAACGATCCCATAAGATACCGATCCTACTCGCTTTACAAATGAGAAAGCGAACATCTAGAGAAGCGACAGTTCCTGCGTGGCAAAGCCGAGGTCCGAGGGCAGACCCAGCTGACCCAAAGCCCGTGCCCTCCCTCATGCCACACTGCCCCGCGTTTCTATTTTTCAGATCTTAGAGGACAGGACCATAAAGGGGTGTATCAGCGTGGAGCCTTACATACTGGGAGAATTTGTCAAATTATCGAATAACGCGAGGGTGGCGAAAACACAATACAGAGCCACGGAATACGGTTTGGCTTTCGGCCACTTTTCGTATGAGTTCTCCGGGCGCAGAGAGGTCGTGGTAGATATACAAGGTGTGTGAGGCTGGGGTTCGCGAACGGGCACCTCTCAGCTGCGCGTCCGGGAACCGCATGGAGAGCATCTTACTGCTCCGAACCCTTGAAAACTGGCGGTTCGGGTTTGTCACCTGTGACAAACGTAACCACCCACCGTTCAGCTCTTCTCAAACGCTGTCGTTGGACCATGCGACACCAACCACCTCAGCAGAAATCTGCCAAACATGGGCCACGGCGACCGGGTGTCAGTGTCCCCGTAGGTGGTGACCGGGTGTCACTGTCCCCGTAGGTGGTGACCGGGTGTCAGTGTCCCGTAGGTGGTGACCGGGTGTCAGTGTCCCCGTAGGTGGTGACCGGGTGTCAGTGTCCCCGTAGGTGCGCACGTTCCTGAACACTCCCGGACATTCACAGGGGACTTGCTTCTCAGACGCCTTTGTGTCTCTCAGGCTGGGTGACAGGTGATGGAAACGGGCTCTTCTACCTGACAGATCCCCAGATTCACTCCGTCGATCGGAAAGATGCCACCACCAATTTTGGAAAAAGGGGGATCTTTTACTTCTTTAATGACCAGCATGTGGAATGCAACGACATATGCCGTCGTCTGTCTTTGACAAGACCTTCAAGGGAGGAGCTAAGCCACAGGCTGTCTGGAGGGCCGGTGTGACAGTGCCGTGCTGAGTGGCGCCCGTGCTGAGTGACGCCCGTGCTGCTCACCAGTGCCGGGCCCGCCCCTTCCAGGCGCAGAGCACGGCACAGCCTGGTCCCTCCGGGCTTAGCGGGGGCCGTGGGGCTGGTTCTGGCCATGATTTATGACAGACATTGATAAGGACCAACGTCAGACCCATATTTCAATGTCAGTGCAAGACCCCCCACCTCCACGTCCCTCTGCCACAAGGACCAGGAGCACGTCAGGAGCTGGGTGCTCGTCGGCGCCCGTCCTGCCGTGGGGTGATGCAGAAGAGGACCCCTGACTCACGGACGCGGAGCGGAGATGAGGACCTTCTGCGGCTTGAGCCATTGAGGTCTGGGGGCTTTTTGTCTCCTACGATCAAGACTAACACCACGGGTGCTTTTCTTACTGATTTAAGAGTTCTTTATACAAACCGAAGAATTCGGGGTTTTGTGCTGTGAGTTCTAGATTTTTCTGTTTGTCTTGACGTTTGATTTTGTCAGAAACTTTTTTCCCGTGCAGATTTGTTACTTAGCTGACTCATTCGTTTCGTGGCTTTGCCACATGTAGATCTCCGGCTCTGGGCCCCTTTCTTTAGTCTCCCCGCCCTTCCCCCAAAACGTTCGCCCTGGTGACCGGTGTGCGGGAGCAGCCGCCGCAGCCCGCGCTCGACTTCTCACCGGCGCGGGCTCCTCCGCGACCTTCTGACGAGCTCGCAAGCGGGGCCGCAGCGGCTCCCACTCCTCCCCGTCCACCCCCCGGGTCACGCCACACTTCCTGTCCCTTGGCCGTGAGATCAGTACGTCTAGTGGCTTCCCCGGGGGTGACAGGCACACGCTCGGGGGTCACTGCACTGCCTGATGGGGGTGCCCAGACCTCCCGCTGCGGGGAGAGGGTGGTGGACACCCTCTGCTCCCTGCTGCGCCCCGCTGTCCAGGGTGAAGTCAGGTCCCCACGTGCTCTCGCCAGTGACAGAGCGAGGCTGGCCCCTCCCGCAGGTGATCACGCACCGGCCGAGCCCTGCACTGTCTGGCGTCAGGACCCCCTGCCCGGCCCCCGCGTGCTGTCCCCTGTCACAGCGTCACCCCCGCCTGGCCGCCTCCACGCTCCCGTTCCAGCCCGTGTGTCCACACGGTCACTTCCCCCTTAAATATCTGGAATGTCTTGTCCCTTCTTGGTGTTTGCGTCTCGAAAAACACGTATGTGACATCAAAAGACGCAGAAAAATTATTTAATAAAAATGAAAATTCATGGTGAAAAGCTCTTTGCAAACTAGGTATAAAGGAAATCTTTCTGAATTCGATAAAGTTCTTTGTTTTTTTTTTAAAGCAGTAACATCATAATTAATAGTGAAGCAATTAAATTTCCCAAAGGGAACAAGAAATTCGCTCATTGTGCCAACCCTACTCAACATTTGTGGAAAACAAACGACAAACCCATCTGTTCCGGGGCCTGGCACAGCCCCTAGGACTCACGACCCCACCCCCGACAGGCTCCTCAGTCCCTCGGGATTTCCTAGGCCACAGGAGTGTGCTCGGTTCTGATGAGGTGACTGTCACAGGCCTCTGGATGGCTTCAGATAGGGGACTTGTCCCCAGAAAGACCGGGCCATGCTCAGAAGCTCTGGGTAGGGGACAGGGGCTGGGGACGAGGTAATGACGGTCACGCCCACATGAGGGGGCCTCCGTGGGAATCAGGGGACCCAGACAAGCTGGCAGCCTGGCACCCCAAGAGGATGCCCCTGCCCCCAAAACTCGCCCAGTGCGTCCCCCCATCTGAACGTTCCTCTGTAGCCTCCGCCAGGTCTCCTTGTAATAAACCAGGGAGCACGGTGTTTCCTGAGCCTTCAAACCCAGGAACAGGAGGGGGACCCCAATTCTGCTTTCAGACAGAAGCACAGCGGCCGCCTGGGACTTGGGACTGGTGTTGGATGTGGGGCCGTCTCGTGGGACTGAGCCTGTGGGTCTGGCCCTAACTCGAGTGATGTGGACGAGGGGACACCCAGCCCGTGCTGGAGCCGGAGCCTGGGTCGGTGTCGGCGCAGAGTGTGGCAGCAGCAGCGTGCGTGCGTGCAGGACGGGACACACAGACGCTTCCCTGTGGGACGTCACGGAGGCGTTCTGGCCGGTCAGCACAGAAGGAACGAGGGGACTCGGGAAGCAGACCCGGCGGAAGTCACCGACAGCTGCTGAGACCCTGAGGGGACCCTGGGGGCCTCCCGGGGAGGGTCGGGTGCTGTGCGGATGGGACGGCTAACGCCCCGCCTGGCTCGTCACCGGAGGTGGCATCTGGGGACAGTTAGGGATTTTTGCTGTGAACTGGGGGACGTGATATCGCGAACTTTTCTAATTTTCTGTCCCATTCTTCCACATTTATTTCTCACGGCAAAATGGATACCGGGACAATTTCAAGCCGTTTTTAGAAAAGCTCCACTGTCAGTTTTCTAGATTGAACTAAATAATTGGTGTGTATTTCGATCTTTTGCATGTAGAGTTGTGAAATGGCAACATTTAAAAAGCTAAGCGTCAGGAGTCGAGTCCAACTTAAAAACTTAATTTTGTCCCTTCGAGCATCAGAAATGCTGGGCTTTTGTCACGCACTGCCGTTGTTCCGAAGGCGGCGTTCGTCCTCTGCGGTCTGGACACACAGACGTCCTCTGCCGTAGAAACTAGGTGTGAAGCGCAGGAAGCGAGCGAGCGCGAGAGAGAAAAGCCAAATCTCTTTATTATGGTGCCTAAACCTCCAGCGCGAGTGAGCTCTGCAGCTGCAGCCGCAGAAAAACGCTTTCAGAGCGATAATGCCAGTGTGAATAATCCTTTCCCGAAGGCCCGGCTTTGTCAGGTGAACTTGAACCGGCCGTCAGATTTGCCCCATTCCCGCGGCACTCTGGGCTGTCACCCCGGGGCGGTCACCATCTTGACTGTTGTTCAGCGAGAACAAGCAATCCATCATGAGCCGGCAGTCACTTTCCCAGACAAAAGTGAAATCGGCATGTGACACCGCTCAGCCGCACTGCTCTGCAGATTAAAATGATACATGGCGGCCCACGTGTTACCGGGAAGATTAAGTCTGTTATCTCGTTCCCCACGGACAAAAGCCCCCTCGAGCGGCCAGAGGGAGCGTCCCGGGACCTGAAAAAACGGACTCGACTAGACGGGGGTGAAACGGAGAATTTAACAGGAAAACAGAAAAAGAATGCCACTTTGCAGTGCAGCCCCTGCAGAAGACGGAGGGCACAGAGGACACTGGCTCGGGCCGAGCGGGGTACGCAAGCAGCCCGGGGCTCGGTGCCGAGTGGCTGCACAGCCGCAGCTGCTCCCCTGTGGGGCCCACCGGCGAGGGGCCTCGTGCAGGACAGGGTGCCCGGGGGTGGGGGGCAGCCGCGGCTCGCTGTCATCCCATTACGGAAAACAGCGTGTTTTAGATAACCGAATTTGTAACTGTGCTACGTTTGTTTTTAAAAGTGATTTTCAAAAGGGAGAAAAAATTAAGTGGCATCGTGTTTAATGTTATACCAATAAACGCATGGATTAAAATTAATATAAGAAAAATCTATCTCTAAAACCATTTTTAAACTTGAAGTAATTTTAAAGTTTAACTCGTGCTCCGCCACCGAGCCCTTACGCTGGGAGTGAGGCTGGCCACGGAGGAGCGTTCCGTGGCTGCCTCGAGGTCTGCTCGCCTGTGGCAGCTCGGCCAGCGGAAGCACCGTCCTTATTTACATTTCGGCGCCTTTGTCACACCAACTTCTCTCCTAACGCACGGAGCGTTTTTCTAGCCACAGGGATCGGGAATCACAGAATGCCCTACTTTGTCACTTTTGACAATGTTCATACACTGCTTCTCTCTGACCGGCTCTAGGTTCTGTGAGTGTCCTGTAAGAGTAGGTGACAGCACTGGACTATGTCACATAGTTTTCTCTGCTAAGGACTCACACCGGATGACTTAGCTTCTTTTCCTACACAAATCACCAAAAAGGAGAAGGCTGTTTAAACACTTTTGTTAGACATTTGACATGGTCTTTTCCAAGTGACAGAAGGACCCGCAGTGACTGGCTTTCGAGGGCCGAGGTCCTGGTATGTTCGTAATGGGGGACATTCTGTCTGGGCTGAGCACCTGGGTCACAGGCAGCGTCCGCTAGCCTGGGCGGCAGTCACTGAGCCACCTGCATCAGAGGATGGTGGATGGGCCGGACCAGCCTCCTGGGTGTTGGTGAGCAGCCGGGCCAGACCATCTGTGGGACCGCCGCCTGGCCCGCCACCAGCGCAAGGCAGCAGGACCCTGCACTGGCTATGTGAAGGTCAAGTGTGGAGGAGCCGGGGAGCCTCTGAAACCCTCCTTACGCACAGACTCAAAGCCATAAACTGTGCTGACAGAGGCGATTTAAAATGTCAGGGTCCTGGAGAGGCCCTTGGACAAGCCCTGAAGAAAACAGCCTGCGACTGAGCCGGACATCAGGGAAAGCTCCGCCGTCCAGCAGACCCGGTGGAAGTCACCGACGCCAAGCCAGCCAGCGTGTCCCCCACTGCCGCCTCTGCCCCTGCCCACGGTGCGCCCTCTGCCCTGTCCGGGCTGAGCAAGGACACACATGACAGAAAATTATCCCCACTTAGAGACAACACAATCACTAATCAAAGCAAATCAAACTCGGTGTCTCCGAAACTGCACGGCCAGGGACCAGCTCCTGTCACATTGGACTCTCTGTGACAGGGGGTCAGCGAGAACAGCCTAGAAGACTGGTGGCTTCTTGTTGGTTGGTGGCTACCTAGCGGCAGCTGATCGGGAGACCAGGCAGCTGCAAATTGCCCAGGACATCACCAGAGCACCCGTCCTTGTCACCAATAACTTTAACAGTTAAATACGAACCAAGTGCTTGCCCACGTGGTGTGCGTCAGCAGACGTGCTTCCGTGACAGCATTCGTAGATGTGAAGAAGCCACGTGCAGGACGCCCCCGCCCCCCAGAGGACCTCAGACGCCGAAAGGCCACCTGAAAAGGTGCTTGAAGAAAGCTAATGTCTCGTGAGTTTTAAAAATTAGTCCAGCTGTCGAGAGAGTACCGTTTTGAGGAAGTGGTTCGCGGTTCCAGGCGGCTGGCCCGTGCGAGCGTGACGAGAGCCTGCTGAGCCGCCCGTCTGTGGGAGGGCTGTCCCCCGGGGCTAAGGATGCATGCTGCCCCGTTCGGTGGCTTCCCTTCTGGCCCTGCAGAGGAAGCCTAGAGGGATCTTCTTTCGGCCCTAACAAAAGCACACGCTTCCTGTGGAGACAGGTAGGAGGCAGAGCCGCACAGGCCCCTAAGCCTAAGTTCAAAAGCGTGACCTTTCAGGAAATACGCTCTCCTTTTTTTCTTTTTGAGAAAACATGTTAAAAATCCAGACTGTGAATGGCTGCCTCTCAGCTAGAAAGGTCACCTGGAGTGCAGTGTCCACAACATGAACTAGAAGCCACGCTCGTCACCCTCTGCCTGGGGGACGGACGAAACAAACGAAAAGACAAAGGCACACCGGAAGGCGGGTCCCGACAGGCCACTCGGATAACAGGTGGGACGCCATGCTGGGGACCACAGTGCATCGCGAGGCCCCCAGAAGTGCCACACCGAAGTGAAGGCACCGTCTGGCTTCAAGGTCCCCAGCTCAGAACGCTGTGTTTTCTCGAGTGTGAGCTCCCTGCTGTGCACGTTTTAAGGGGAATC